ATGAGGTGTGCTTTGAGGTTACTTAACCTTTTTGATGAGGTGAGGCCCACGATTATCTCACCTTGATGAGATGAGCCTTAAGATTACTTTACCTTGATGAGGTTAGCCTGAAGATTACTTTGCCTTGATGAGGTTAGCCTTAAGATTACTTAACCTTGATGAGGTTAGCCTGAAGATTACTTTGCCTTGATGAGGTTAGCCTTAAGATTACTTAACCTTGATGAGGTTAGCCTTAAGATTACTTCGCCTTGATGAGGTTAGCCTTAAGATTACTTTACCTTGATGAGGTTAGCCTTAAGATTACTTCGCCTTGATGAGGTTAGCCTTAAGATTACTTTACCTTGATAAGGTGAGCTTTGAAGTAACCTCACCTTGATAAGGGCTAGCGACAGCAAGGATGCTTGAGTGGTGTCCAGTACAATGGGGTTAGTCTTGATATTCACTATTGCGTAGGTGACGAAGGATGATACGAGGGGCAGCAGCACCAACCATGCCATCAGTATTACCTTCTTCGTGATCAGTTTCATGGTTGGGACTATTCAACAAATAAGCGCTCAGTGACCCCAGACACTAGACGAATGAGCGTAGATAACATAACATAACATAGTGATGTCAGCGCTGAAGTGTAGGCCTGATGTGGCCTGTCGCTGATTCTTTTCCTTTTCGTGCCTTGTTCACAGGAGATCTAAAATCGTGTCATTTGGATGATAAAGGGCGAATAAAAATGATAAATTAAGAACTACAATAATAAGCAAACACACCAATAAATAAGCCGTGTGCTTTCTGTGCTCATGTTCTTACTTAATTCGACTCAAGATTCGGCTTCAGGCTTCGTAGCCTTTCTCTGCGGTGGTTCACGCAACAATGACAAATAAGTAAACTTTCATTGGCGATGTCATATGGGTGGTGAATTAAAACTAAAATGACAAATTTCACGAATCCTATTGCAATCCCAAACGAAATTATATTGTAGGTGCTGTGTTTAGCTTTTATCTTAATTTGATTCTAATTAATTAAATATTGGTACTGTGTTTTTCAACAAAGCTCTCCACTTATTTACAAAAGAAAATGCAATTCTGCATTACGAAATATCATTAGCAACAAAAAATTCATAGATCCTTCGTTTAAAAAATGTTATTATACATATGTACACCAATCTCCAGTAATAGAATATGAAGTGTTACGAGACTTGTATGCTTTGTTATTTACTTTTTAAACACAAGCTTAATTAGATTTCGATAGCTTTGAATGTTTGGAGAGAACATAAATTCAATAAATATAAAATATAAAGAAACCAGAAGTTTCCTTACGCCCCCTACATTTTATTACCAATACCAATAGTATAATTCTATCGTCGCACATCCCACGATGTCTACAATAATGTGCTTAAGCAGCGTCTTCCATTTTAACATGGGACTCGGCGTCAAAGACCCAACGTAAACCGAGTTATGATGGAAAAAGTAAAAATTTTACCTCGCTCTGGATTTTCCCGGTTAGTGAGTATAAAGTTGTTCGGATACAAGTATCAATACGCGTACTGAGGGCGCGGGGTAAAACCGGGGGGACCCCGAATTTTACTACAACAGCAATAAAAAGAATATATATTCTTTTGATATCTCTAGTCTGCACATGGAAAGTCTTCAAAACGTCTGTATTAAAAGCCACTATATATACTGGCCGTTTCCGCTATACCATGTGCATCTCTCGTTCTAGAAGTTTCTTCGACGGTGGTCTTGCATTATAGCCTCATATTTATGAAGCCATAATTTTCTCCCATAATCATCCATTCCGTTCTCCCAAGCAATCGAATTCATCCCATCTGAATATTAATTTATAAGTTCCCAGAGATAATTCATTCATTATCGATCTCAGAGCCCTACTTCCCAAATACCTGTCGAACAGTAGCAGAGTTGGGTTCATTACAACGATTAGAAAATTTAGTAATTTAGGGAAGTAATATTATTTAGTAACGTAAAAATTTCGCTCGGTGATCCTGAGGAATTCGAAAAAATTCCTATGATCAATGAAGTAAAACTTTATTGTTTCACTTCATCAAAAAAAAACTTCAAAAAACATTGCAAAAAAAGTCCCAATCATTGAATGAACAATATCCATACTCTACTCAAATTTTCACGCAAACTGTTGAAGGCTGTCGCTCCATTGTTGAGCTATAACGTCTACTTACGGATTCACCTTTTAAATATAAGGAGCTTTCTTAGTACAGAAATTATACTGATTTTGCCTAACCAAAAAAAGTTTCCAACACTGCCCTCAGCGGCAGCGGACTCTATATCTACCGGTACACGACATTTTTACTACTGAAGGTTACAACTCTATTTATTCTTAATAAACTTGGCAGTTTGGGATCCTCCTGACACGAGGACGGAGTGTCACCCTGTTCACTCAGCTGCGTGGCAATGAGTTCTGAGCCTATTCGGAATCGGCAACCGTTATAGAGAGAGCAGAGTACCCACATTCCTTGAACTCAGCGGTAAAGAAGAATTTTAAGGATATCTATCGCGAACATTAGCCTTGAGAGAACTGTTTCATGATCTGACTTTTTATTGCAAACACGTTGAATGATAAATCCGGCTAATACTTATTATGATTATATCTTTAACTAAATAAAATTGTGAGTGCAAACAGTATTGCAGACAGAAATAACTTCTCTGACTCATTGATTCTTTGATGCAGTTAATAGATTTCATTTTCTTAAACGTATTAACTAAGTAATAAAATTGCCAAAATAATTAAGTTTGCCGCTTCTCAGGTATGTTGCAGTCACCATTTTTGAACGAGAATTTGGGTAAAGAATAAATTGAGGCATTCATCGCAGGCTAAATCGTTCGGCTTTGAAATCACAATATTGAAATTGATTTTTATTTTGCACTAATGAATTTTAATTGTCTAGACTATAGAAATGAACGTAGAACATACGGATTTTTACTATATGAAGAAAGAAAGTGTCGTGGTAATTTTCAGAGCGATGATGCGCGGAAATCTGCAGGACAATGAACTCGCTTGGTTTTCAAGTCACGCGCTGAACTTGGGTCAGATTTTTGACGTGCCTTAGCTCATGAACAAGTCGAGCACGAGTCCCGTTCGTAACTGTCGATATCTTACATGTGCAACAAATTCTGCAGGTGACGTTCATTGTTTCCTCGGTGCGGTTCTTTTTTCAGAAAATTCACCCATCTTAAAAAATATCGTGGCGCGTTGAAGACAATAAAAGTTTTTCTCAGTGTTTTTTAGCGGCTCAACTTTAGCGTATTACTAATTGACGTGTTGAAATGCATTAATTATTCCGGAGCTCTCGTAATTTCATTGAAGTTGTTGGCATTCTGTTCCAATGTAATGTGCGTATGTACATTACTGTGGCGGTCCACTATTATCGAATTCGTGATAAGTTCACACTTCGTTCGCAACATGTATGTACAAACTTCATCCTAAATACTTAGGTCTACAATGTTAGACTAATAATATCAGGTCATACGTTTGTTTGTATAATTGCTGAAAAACATTTTGTCATGGCCTTCTGATACGTCTTTCCGATCGGGTGGCAATAAGAACCATTAAGGGAACTTTTAGAGCAAAGATGAAGAAAAAATTTGCTAAGATGACTTGACAAAATCCACAACTGCGTCACTCTGAAAATCGCAGTGAAAATAGGGTATCTTTTCGAAAATAATTTCTTAAAAGAAATGCTCCAGAACTATTTCTGATGCATGTTACAGGAAACCTGTTGATAGGTAACCAATTGATAGGCTGAATTTATGTACTGGGAGAATTTATGGCCCATTACTGGCGAAAAACCTATGGGAATTGAAGTATGGACAAAAATGACTGTCAACATATTTGACTGGTATAGATTCGGATTAGAATAATCTGAACGTATGACTTAAAATCTGATCTTATTATCTGTGGTTTGTTATTAAAATGCAACCGTGAACGTTTTCTACACTGGCTTGCAAATCTTCTTCTAAGAATCACGACGTGCGTTGTCTGAGCAACTCCATCAAAAGCCTATGTCCTTCAAATTGATTTTCTGACGAAACTTATGCTACATTCTAAAAATAAATTCTGTAAACGAACATGCAGTATTTCTCATTAATAAAGAGCTCAGATAATTTAGAGGAACGACACTAATACAATGCATAATTGTATATTGGTTATAAAGTTGGTCGGAGTAAATATTAGTGGGCAAGTCCAAAGCTCTCGAGGACAAATTGCTAAGTTAACTTTAAAATAAAAGTGCACAATAATTCAATATAAATATCATTGATGTGTTACTGATAATCTGCTTCGGTAGGATCTTATGTTCGTAATGACATCTTATGAGATGTAAAAAACGAAGCTTGGATTATTGACTACGTGTCTTATATGAACAAACCTAGACGTAGTATCAAAACAAAAGTGCTTGATCAGCCTCACAAAGTGGACGCATGTGCTAGCAGCACTGCAGACATTGCTGTGCAAACGCAATTTTTACGTAATTGCTAGGGAAACAAAATTCACCAGTGCGCTCTGGGTGAGTATTAGTAGATGCTACGCTCACGTGCAATCTACCTAGTGAATTTAGGACATAAAAAAGTCACTTAAAACTATTAGATTCAGAGCGTTTCATGCAAAATTTCTGTTGTATCAGACAAGATTACTCATGAGAAGAATAAGGTGAGGAAAATAAGATAAAACCAGCAGCAGTGAAAATTTTTCAATCTAAAAAATCAACATCAGGGAGGGGTATAGCTACTGAGAGAAAAATGATTTTGCCTTAACATCTACTGTACAAAATTCCTCTCTTGAACTGGGGGAGACTCAAGCGTATTCCAGGGAAAAAAACTGCAGCTTCCGCACTAGACTCTGAACGAACTTTACCTACGTCAACCAACCTGGAAATAAAATTTTTTGATCGTTAGATTAACGTCCTTCATGTTCAAGATATAAGAAAATGGAATCCGGAGAAACGGTGAATTTTCATGTATATATAAATATATATATATAATATATACATACATATATGCATAAGTAGGGGTATTGTGCGACATGTTTCGTCTAATTCTCCAAAAACTGTGTCGCGCAATTGATTTATCAAAACGTTAGTCATACTTTTAACAACAGTGCGACATTTTTGGCCTATTGTGCGAAAGAACGTTGCACAATTACTATCTCGGAATGTAACCGTGTCACGGAATCTACATATGATTAGTATTTGCTAATAGTGCGACACAAAAATGATGAACGCAATTCTGCAACATGCTAGTTAGCGAAAACCTCGTTAGGTTAGGGTTAGAGTTAGGGCTAGAGGTGTAAAAATAGTTTTATACAAACTCTTCTACAATTTTAATAAGGTTATATGTCTAGTCAGCAAGGGTTCTTTTACCTTAAATAACTCATTAAAAAACGCCAACTAATCATTGTCGCGGTATTAACAATTAATATTTATATATAGTTAGTAGGACTGACTTCTGCTCTTCGTAGTTAGTAAACGGCTCTTCACTTTACTGCCATGTCATGATGTCAATCAGATCCCTGCCTGAAGTGTAGGACTGCTACGCACTCCCCGCCATGCAGTGTAGGACAAGACTGCTGCGTTCACTCTGTCATGCAGTGTTGGAATTGCCACGTACGCTCCGACATGCAGTGTAGGACTGCTAAGTAATACATTGTCCAGTATATAACTATTGAGCACAACCTGCAACGCATGAATCATGCGCACGACCTGCCATGTGCATGGCTTCTGACTTTTATCGAACAAGATTTTTGCTAATTTTTTAATGCACTTTTGCGGAAACGAGCAGAACGTACCTAAACTTTAGGGCAGCGTCTGTGTCTTTTGAACTCCGGTAAACTGATGGTTAAGTCGTTGCTACATCATCAAGTTCCCTGCAACCTGTACGACGTTCCTAATGTATGGTGGAACTAATGCGATTGATGTGCAATAAATTATTTTAATATGACTGTTTGTTTTATCTGTTAACTGAACTTACAACTATACTCACGACAATAATTACCAGTGAACCTACTTAAAGTTATCTACAAACACAACTGCATGAAATTTAGGGTAATATATATGAAAACCATGCTCTTGGGCATCCGAAAGTAGATCTGAATATGAGAATTTAAAATAAATAAAGTCAAGCTGAGACATTTATGGCTTTGCGTTACGACTACACATAGATAATCTCAACTATTTGCAAATATTGATCAAATCATTGCAATCTCTAATATTACTGGGTTTTGGCCAATCACGAAAGTTGAGTGAAGTTCGTGATATAGCAAATGTTGCAAATAGTTCAATTCGGATGTATTCCTGAGTATTACGCGGAAAAGAAATTGCCTTTCTTTTCAGACTGTTTTATTATGTTGGTGAATGACTCCAATTCCTTGCTCTGAAGTAATTAAGTGCAAATGATGACTGAAATTATCAATCCCACTTGCCATAACCCCAACATGTCGACCATCCCTCATTTATAAAGATGATTTACTTATCTCAGGTCTCGTCGAGTGCATTATTTGCAGAGCTTTTTACTATCGATTTTGTATCTCTGCATTTTATAACTCGTCTTTTATGCGTACTGTTAGCTCTTTGAACAGCTTTCCGAAGATCATCGGTGCCGTGTACCTGAAAAATACAATTATGTTAAAATTAAATGTTGATTGAACTCTGAGTTATTGGATAAAGTTATGAGTAATGAAATTTAAGCTTTGAGTTGAATTTCCTACTTTGGCTAGCATTCAGCAATGTTACCGGGTAGTTAAGAACTGTAGGATTGAAGCACTGAATTCCTGATTTAAATTCCAAGCAAGCCTGTGAAATAATGCCATGTCTAGAATCGGCGACAGGACGATTCTCGAAATAAACGATCCATTTGCAATAATTTCAAATTTTTCTATACAACGTCCTTCAGTAAAACAGAGTAGGAGTTATGTAATTTGGAAATTTAAAAAGATTTAAAGCGGCACAAAAGTCTATTAGCATCAACTCGCAATATATAAATTTGGATAACACTCATTCACGAAAATTTGTAATTTAGTACAATTCCGTTTGAAATCACACCTGCCGGAACAAAGCTTGTAAGCTTCTTCACAACTTTTGCACGTCAAAGACAGTTATGAGCGACAAGGCGTACGTATTCTCACCTGTCATAGCAAGGTTTGTAAAATTCTTCACAACTTTTGGCCGTCAAAGACAGCTATTGTTGCCGTCAAAGACTGCTATTTTTGCCGTCAAAGACAAGGCATACGTATTCTCACCTGCCAGAATAAAGCTTGTAAGCTTCTTCACAACTTTTTCCCGTCAAAGACTGCATGAGCGACAAGGCTAACGTATTCTCACCTGCCAGAACAAAGCTTGTAAGCTTCTTCACAACTTTTGCCCGTCAAAGACTGCATGAGCGACAAGGCGCGCTCCGTTGCCGGGCTGGAGTCCGGGGCTGTCGGACTGTCGTATCCGTACAACGCACGCACAGCCTCCGTGTAAAGTTCGATTTGCGGATCCAGAGCTTCTACGTCCACCTCTTCCTCCGGGTGTCGGTCCACGTCGTTCTGTGATGCGGTCTCGCCATAACTGTCGCTCGTTTTGGCTGTCGTTTCTATCTCGCAGAACATTCGTCTCAGACAAGGAAATGCAGCCACTGGAAGTTCCTTAGATGAAACAAAAATGCAAAAAAAAGTTTCAAAACGTAAAAATCTGAGAAATTTTTTCATGAGTTATTGCCATATTATTTATTAGTGAAATTATTCTTGAGCCATTGAGAAATATGAGCCATTGCAATACCTGAAAATAAGTTAGTCGTTTCGCAACTTCATTGATTAATTTAAGTGTTTCTCTGATCAAAACTCACACAAACCTTAATTAATTATCTTTGCAAGTCTCATTGCAATGAAACGAATTTCTTCTTTCAAATGAATGTGAGCGAAAATAACACAAATTTTCTGCGTTTTAATATTAAATGCCAGAACTTGTTTCTTTTTTATTTGCAAATTATTCATTTTACTAACTCAGTTTAATTTTCCCATTTTTTGCTGTGCACTAAGTCGGTACAAATTTTTTTCCGGTTCATGTTGGTTATTGATTACTAAATCGAAGCAGATTTCTTCTCTTTAGTTGCGGTTTTGAGCTTCGATCAGAGTTTCGTTTCATTTAAAGGTCTTACGTTTTTCGTTAAATTTTTGTGTTTGAAATTTGCCGTTAAAAAACGAAACGTGGAAGAGTAGATTTTTTGGTCATTATAGATTTTCTTCCAACTTCACATGCTATAGTTACCTTGTGACGCAGAGATGGGATGTGTTCGGTTGCATTGTTCACATCTCGTTTCTCCCTGAACTCAGTATTTCCTAGAGCTTGTGAGAACAGTTCATTGAGGTTGATCGGGAACACTCGTAAGCCACCGAGCAGCACCAACTGCTAGGAGACGGGGCGGAAAATCTTAGAGGCTGCATACCAATGTTTATCGATTAATTATTTAACTTTCATATCAGATTTTGATTGGTGTGCGCATAGGAACAGTGCAGCTGTATAACATGTTGAAAGGGTGTGGTGAAAAGTTTTTGGATGTGCATAGAAATGGGTCGCCTGCGGAAGACCATCCCTGACCTGGATGTAATGGACCATCGTGATTCCTGCCTTCCGGAACGTATCCTTCAACACTTCTCGACAATCGTATCTAGGCCGTGGGTCGAACCAGCCCTCGGTCGAACGGCTATTCGTCGAAGGACGATAAATTTTGGAACATAACTATGCTATCTGAAACCTAACCCCAGATGCGGTGAATGTAAAATTACGTTATTTAACGATGCCCGGAAGTTATATTTGATCCACGGTCTTCAGGTGCTCGGCAGGTTTTATGCAATGCCGAAAGAGGACAAAGCTGAGTGGTTCACGGCTGATTGGTGGATGTCCGGAGAGATCCGAGGCGTTCGATTCAGGGCTTATTGGTGCACAAAATTGGTGGTGCACGGCTGCGCTCCCCATAGAAATAATCCCTTCCGCGAGCAAGTTGCCAAATCTGGTAATCCACAATCGCCATCTTCCCAGACCCACCACTGTTTTTCTGTCGAGTGACTCATCAACTTTGGTTCCGTACATGGTCTTGGTTCAGCAATATTTTGTAATCTATAATGTAACGCTAACTACAGGTGTTTTTTTAAGGTCCATAAATTTTCCAGTGAAGGGAGTTTAATGGGTTAGGGACTTACTGAAGTTAGGAACATTGGGCATCAGAGTATTACGGTGAGGCTGTAAGTTTCCTCACCTTGATGAGGTGAGAACCTTAAGATTACCTCACCACAATGAGGTGAGCCTTTAGATTACTCCACCCTGATGAGGTGAGCCTTAAGGCTACCTTACCTTGATGAGGTAATCCTAAAGGTTACCTCACCCTAATGTGGTGAGCTTTGAGTTTACCTCACCTTGATGAGGTGAGCCTTTAAGTTACCTTACTTGATGAGGTGTGGCTAAAGGTTGTCTCGCCTTGATTAGGTGAGCTTGGAGGTGAGCTACCCCACCTTATGGAGCTGAGGCTCATGGTTACCTCACCTTGATAAGATTATGGTTACCTCACCTCACCTAGAACAGATGAGCTTTGTGATGAGACCTCACCTTGAGAAGGGCTAGCGACAGCAAGGATGCTTGAGTGGTGTCCAGTACAATGGGGTTAGTCTTGAAAACCACGAGGGTGTAGGTGATGAAGGACGATACAACGGGCAGCAGCACCAACCATCCCAGCAGTATTACCTTCTTCGTGATTAGTTGCATGACCTAGGAGGTGCAGTGCCTATCTGCTCACTTAATTTGACTCTAATTTATTAGATTATTGTACTGTGATTTCAACAAACCTCTCCTTATTTTATAAAAAATATGAAATTCTGTATTGCGAGACATCATAAGCAACAAAAAAAATTCACTGATCCTTCGTTTAATAAATTTTATTACACTAACCTCCAGTAATTGAATATACATAAATTGTAACGGAGAGTTAAATGCGTTGTTATTTAGTTTCTAGACATAAACTTAATTAGTTTTCGATAGCTATGATTGTTCGGAGAGAACATAAATTCTATAATTATAAATTATGTAGAATGCAAAACACAATATAAGATAATATATATAGAATATATATTATATAGATAATCAAGAGAATATAAATTCTCTTGATATCTACAATCTGCACATGGAGAGTCTGGAAAACGTCTGTATAAATAGCCACTATACTGGCTTATTTTCAACTATAGCATGTGCATCTCGTTCTAGAAGTTTCTTCGCGTTGGTCTTGCATTATAGCCTCATATTTATGAACCCATAATTTTTCTCCCGTAATCATCCATCCCGTTTCTCCAAGCAATCGAATTCATCCGATCTGATTGTTCATTCATAAGATCTCCGAGATAATTAATTCAATATCGATCTCAGAGCGCTACTTCCCAATAGCTGTCGAATAATATCAAAGTTGGATTCACTAGAACGATTAGAAAATTTAATAATTAAGGGAAGTAATATCATTTACTAACACCAAAATTGCGCTCGGTGTTCCCGAGTAGTTCGCCTTCCAACTGTTTTGCTATGACCATTGAAACTTTATTGCTATTAAAAAAAATTAAGTTCCAATCATTGATTGTACAATATCCATACTCTACTCAAATTTTCACACGAACTGTTGAAGGCTGTCGCTCCGTTGCTGAGCTGTAACGTCTACGTACGGATTCACCTTTGATGATCTTTCTTAGCATAGAAATTATACTGATTTTGCCTAACCAAGGAAAATTTGCAACACTGAACTCATCGGAACCCATATCTACCGGTACACGACAGTTTTCCTAGTGAAGGTTACAACTCTGCTTATTCTTAATAAACTTGGCAGTTTGGGATCTTCCGACACGCGAACGCGGACGGAGTGTCACCCTGTTCACTCAGCTGCGTGGCAATGAGTTCTGAGCCTGACCATTTGCATCTGCAACCGTTATAGAGAGAGCATGCAGAGCACCCAAATTCATTGAATGAAACTCCGCGGTAAAAAAAAAAGAATTTTAAGAAGATCTATTGCGAACACTAACCTCGAGAGAACTATTTCGTGATCTGATTTTTTCATTACAAACACGTTGAGTGATAAGTCTGACTTATACTCTCTCCGATTATACAGGGTGAACCAAAATTAACTGACCCTTTTAATTTGTTAATAAATAAAAAACTAAGAACGTTATGAAGTTGAAACTTGTTCTATTTAAAAGAAGAACATTTTTATGGTAATATTGTATCCTAGTTTTTAGGATGCAATAACTAACTAGGATACAATATTACATACAATATTTTAACTAATACATACTATTAATACATAATAAATATTTTAACTAATACAATAAAAAAATATTGTAATAGGATACAATATTACCATAAAAATGTTCTTCTTTTAAATAAAACAAGTTTCAACTTCATAACGTTTTTAGTTTTTTATTTATTAACAAATTAAAAGGGTCAGTTAATTCTGGTTCACCCTGTACTTCTATTTATAATTCATATACTTTTTTTCGGTTAACTAAAGAAAATTGTGCGTGGAAAAAGTAATGTAGGCATGAATATCTTTTCAGCCGCATTGATTTTTTATGCAGTTAACAGTCTTCCTATCATAAAACGTATTAAATAAGTACCTACAGAAAACCGTCAAAATAACCAATTTTGCCGCTTTTCAGGTGTGATACAGTCACCATTTTGAACGAGAATTCTGGTAAAGAATAAAGTGAGGCATTCATCGCAGGCTTAATCGTTCGGCGTTGAAATCATGCATGGAATGGATTTTTATTTCGAAGGAATGAATTATTTATTTTCTAGTCTTTAGAAATGCGCGATGGACTAACGGAATTTTACTATATGAAGAAAGAAAGTGTCGTAATTCGCAGAGCTAAGATGCGCGGAATTCTGGGCCTGGATAAAGAACTCGATAGCTTCATTTTCAAGGCACGCATTGAACTTGCGTTAGGTTTAGGACGTGCTTAGCTCATGAACAAGTCGAGAACGAGTCCCGTTCGTAACTGTCGATACCTTACATGTGCAAGAAATTCTGCAGGTAACGTTCATTGCACCCACGTTGCCGAACTTTTTCTAAAAAGTTCACCCATCTTACAAAACACTGTGGCGCATGTTGAAGACAATAAAAGTTTTTCTCGTTGTTTTTTTAGCGGCTCAACTTTAGCTTATTTATGATTGACCTGTTGGAATGGATTATTTATTCCGGAGCTCTTGTAATTACATTGAAGTTGTTGGCATTCTGTTCCCATGTAATGTGCGTATGTACATTACTTTGGCGGTCCACTATTATCGAATTCGTAATCAGGGCCTATACTTTCAAAAAAAGTTAAGAGATCGTAAGTTCATCAGCCAATCATTGACGGCCTTTGAAGCAAAATCCACCAATCATAGACAAGAAAATAGAGCGTAAGTACTTACGTTCGCTTAGCGAGTTTTGAAAGTATCGCCCCAGTTCACACTTCGTTTGTAATATGTTTGTACTAGCCTCATCCTAAATACTTAGGTCTGCATTGTCACTAATGGTCGCACGTTTGTTTATGTCATTGCTGAAAAACATTTTGCCATGGCCTTCTGATACGTCTTTTCCGATTGTGAAATAAGAACCATTAAATCCGGCGAGATAAATCACGACTACTCAGTGAGATGAGACATTTTAAGGGAACTTTTTGAGCAAAGATGAAGAAAAAATCGCTTAGATGACTCGACAAAATCCATAACTGCGTCACTTTGAAAATCGCAGTGAAAATAGGGTATCTTTTCGAAAGGGGGTGTATAAGGGGGGGGGGTTATTTCTTAAAGGAAAGGCTTGAAACTATTTCTGATGCGTGTTACAGGTAACCTCTTGATAGGTAACCAGTTGATAGGCTGAATTTATGTTCTGGGAGAATTGAATTGATGGCCCACTACTGGTGAAAAACCTATGGGAATTGGAGCATGGAGCAAAGCCGACCGTCAAAGTATTTGACTAGTATTGATTCAGATTAGGATAATCTGAACGTATGACTTAAAATTTGAGCCTATTAGCTGTGGTTTATTATAAAACTGCAACCATGATCGTTTTCTACAATGGATTGTAGCTCTTTTTCTAAGAATCACGGAGTGCGTGCATGTCTCTGCAACTCCATTAAAAGCCGATGCTCTCCAAATTGACTTGGTGACGCAACTTATGCTACATTCTACAAATAAATTTTCTTAACAAACATGCAGTACTTTTCAGCGCGAATGAAGCTCAGCTTCAGCTCAGCGAATTTCGAAAAATGACACTAATACCCTGCATGTGTTTTAAATTTGCTTAGAGTAAATGAATATCATTGTGGACGTCCAAAGCTCTCGAAGACAAATTGCTAAGATAACAGTGAAAATAACAGCGCATAATAATTCAATGCAAAAATTATTGACGTGTTACTTATAAATCTGTTTCGGTAGGTATCTTATGTTCGTGATGACATTTTTTTATTAGATGTGAAAAACGATGCTTGGATCATTGATGACCTGTCATATATGAGCACAAAGCTGGACGTAGTATCAAACCATAAGTGCTTGATCAGCCTCACAAAGTGGATGCATGTTCTAGCCGCACTGCAGACATTGCTATACATTTACAATTTTAAGTATCAAACTAAAATTTCTTGATCAGCCTCACAAAATCGATCAATCTACTGCATATATTGCTGAGCATTAACAATTTTTAGTGAATTGAGGACTCGAAAGTCAGTTAAAACGATTAGATGCAGAGGTGCATCATGCACCTCTGCTTTAGACACATCTAACCCTAGCTCTAACCCTAACCTAAACAGGTTGGCGTTTTTTCATGTCCGGTAATGTAGTTCATTTATTTTGGCGTCAGGTTATCAAGTACAAACTAATTGCAGAGTACACAACTGGACGCGTTTTGTCCGGGTTTCTAACCCATGTCCGGTAATGTTACCAATTCTGTCCGATTATTGCTTGATATATATATTATATTATATTAAGCAGGTTTCATTGAAGACCAGAGAATTCGTTTTATTGATAATTTTCTTATTAGTTTTTTCAATGGATCGAACAAGATTTTTCGTTTGCACTGGTAAGTCGAAAATCAGATTACCGAAGGACATTTTTATTTCTTTAACGACGTTTCGAATGTTTCTATCATTCATTATCAAGTTAAAAGGCGCATTGAGTGATGGGATTTGGGTCGACATGAGTACAAAATCAAGTAAATAGGATGCTACTCAAAAATCGAAATTGTTAGGAATAATTACAAAAATCACAAAAAGGTGCCACCTTCAGTCCGGTGGACCAAGAAACCGCCTGATGGAGGCCCACAACGAGACCATCACCCGTACGGTGCTGGAGGAGTGCACCAGCGTCGTTATGAGATGCCCCGACGCCAACCGACTCGCGATAGCTGATTCATTAAGGATAGGACCCCAGCCATCAACCTTCAAACTGCCGGATTTGCCAGAACCTTGAGACTGTTTTCGGAGTAATTTTTGGTGTTTTAATACTTAATTATTTTTGTCATTTTGTAATTAATCCTAACAATTTCGATTTTTGAGTAGTATCCTATTTACTTGATTTTGTACATTTGTCGACCTAAATTCTATCACTCAGTGCGCCTTTTAACTTGATAATGAATGATAGAAATATTCTAAACGTCGTTAAAGAAATAAAAATGTCCTTCGGTAATCTGATTTTCGATTTACCAGTGCAAACGAAAAATCTTGTTAGATACATTGAAAATACTAATAAGAAAATTGTCAATAAAACAAATTCTCTGGTCTTCAATGAAACCTGCTTAAATGAAAAAATTTTTCCAACATATGCAAGTTTGATTGAAGACCAGAGCATGATTTTTATTAA